ATTTGAAAATTTTTTAATTTTTCTCTCTTTTTTTTTGGCGGAACGCAACTGAAATTCTGAGAAATTGGCAGCGTAGCAACGAGATTTTTTTGTTTACTCGGCCTCGATCGTTTGTATAAATTCAGACCGATTATCTTTATAATGGACGTTTTTTCGGATGCAAAATTGCTTTAAATATGTCTCGTGTTTCCCGAATCCCAAGTAACGGTTACGTGAAAGAGAAAGTCGTGTTGGAGCCGGAAATGAATTGCGAGGGTCACGTAAAACGATCGCAGTCCGGACGTGAGCTCGAGGAAGCGAATTTCTCTAAACTCTCGATGTGAGACTGAGTCAATTCGTTCCTCTGACGTGAATTTTAATTGGAAATCTCTCGGTAATTCTATATTGTAGCTTGAAAAAGTGCCGAAGCGTGGATGGAACTTCGAAAAAAGCAAAGATCAACGATGTTCGTAGACTGAAGACGCGGAGTTTAAAGGTGCCGCGGGTTCCCGAGAGAATCGTCAATATAGTCAACATTTTGCAGCACGAGAAATTTCTGGATATGGTCGATCAGTTCTTCAAGCCGAATTCCAAGAAACTATCGCGTATCAAGAAACCACAATCAAAGACATCCGATATGAACAAAAGTCTTGATTGTGGCACCGAAGTGCATATGTCCACCATTTGTGAAAACACCTTGTAATTCGTCGTTCGAATAAATGATCTTCGTCCACTAATACAGTCGAATTGAAAATTTAATCGGAAATTCGAAAATAAAAACAAACGACATCAAATCGCGCAACTTTTTAAAATAAATCGCAGTTTATTGTACATCTCGTTCGATATTATTATCTATGAACACATTGTCATGCAATAAGGATATTCTAAGGATATCTCTAAAAATATTCGAGCGAACGTCTTGCTCTGTTCGATCGAGAAAAATTCGATGAAACGTGAATTTTCTTTGGAGCTCTCTCACAAGAGAACAAGGTAATGGGAACGATGGACGATATTTGTAACTCGCCCATTTCCTTCTCTTTGACACCCTGTATATTGGACGAGGGACTTGTTGCAAACGTGAATTAAGATCGCATCGATTGGACTTTGAGCTTTAGAGAGACCGTGCTAATCATCGCTTTGCTCGCACAGAATCAAAGTTTGCTCTCGGTGTCGTCGTAGATGATCGCCGGGTTCGAGGCAGCCCATTTTTCCTTGAATGCCAGTTCTTCCTTCTTGGGTCTGCTCTTCAACCTTTGGATGCCAGCGTAGTGTTCCTCGATTTCCTTCAAGGATCTGCCCTCTGTTTCTGGGAGGATGAAGTAGAGGAGAACGCCACCGGCGAAATTGATCAGGGCGTAAAAGAGAAAAGTTCCTGGCATGGACATTCCGTTGACCATGTAGAGGTACACTTTGTTCGCGACGGAGTTGAAGACGTAGCCTATGGAGCCAGCGATTCCTGTTGCGCTGCTTCGTACCTGGGTCAAAGTTGACATCGACAGACAATTAGTTTGGGGAAACTTTCAGGTTTTAGTCAGATTAGACTTGAGTTAGGGATATGGAAATATCCTTCTGAAAAAGTTTAGGAATTGACTTTCACGATGATGGAGCTAGGTTTGGATCCAGATAACCAACTCATTTTCATGAAGAGAATTTTGCTAATAAAACATGAGGATCCTGCATTAAAGGCAAAGGAAGCCACAGACTCTGATTTCGACTCAAAAATTTAAATTCCTGTGCTTGAACTTGAATTTAAGTTCATGTTAAGTGAAATGTCAGGGATGTTGATCTGACAAACTTACGTTTGCGGGAAAGACTTCGCCAGCCAGGACCCAAGGGAGGAGCCTGATCCCATTATGAGACAAGAAAGCAGCACCGATCAGCAACGTCGTTGGGATCCACGAGATATTCTCCGTGTCGATCGTCCCGGCATCATTCAGATACCCGTAGATAGTCACTAGACAAAAGCATATGCCAGTACCACCGACAGAGATGAACGTGAGCAATCGTTTGCCAGTGAAGTGAATAGCAAACACGCAGACTAACGTTCCGGTTAATTCGGCCAGGCCAAGGAACACGGCAGCTGTGTATTTGTCCACAGGTGCTTCTAGGTTGTCAAAAATCATCACAGCGTAAGTCTGAAGGGTACTGGTGCCACCAAAGGTGCCGATGAAGAAGGCACTAGTGACTAGGAAGAAAGGCGTGTAGAAGGTTTTCTTGCCAAAGGACTTCCATATCCTTTCCTTGGTCTCTGTCGGCTTGTGGACTTCCTGGCAAATGGTTTGAAACTCCGCTTTCACATGGATCGGACTGACCCAACCGCGGAGCCAGCAGAGAGCCTTCTCCGCCTCCTTCTGGCGACCCTTCGCTGAAAAATTGCGTCACTTGACCGTTTGGGTATGAATACTCAATACTGAGGCTTCACTTGGTCTAATTTAGATATATCGTAGATTATTGGAGAAAGAGTTGCATTGGAGTGTAAGAAAATGGAATAGTTAAAGTAGAAGAAGAGAATTTACCAATGAGCCAATAGGGACTCTCGGGTACCACGCAGAGAGCAGCGAAACAGATAAGTGGATAGATCAGATTGATCATAGTGACGGTCCTCCAATTGCCCAATTTGCCACCTAACATCTGCGTGAAGATACCGAGGATAATGGACATGGTGGAAGTGGCAGACAGCATGCCACGTAAATGTGGCTGCGTCACTTCTGCCACATAGGTCATCACAGGTGCCTCTAGAAGACCACCAGTTAGACCTGTCATAGCCAGTGCTATGAACAACATCCCAGCTGTCGTGGCGTAGTAAAAGGTGATCCAAGCTGCTATGAACGGGATGGTAGTCAGCATCATGGTTCTCTTTCTCCCTAGGAACTGTGACACTGGTCCACTGGCGAAGCAGCCAATTGGAACCAGGAATAAGTTCAGGCTGCCTGAAACACGTTTCATGAATTTTAGACTTTTGTTAATATAGAGAAGGATTGAGAATCGTAGTGATGATATTTTTAATAAAATTATATTATGTTTTGCGTTTGCTATTATTATTTCCTTATTTAAGTACTGAATTTTCGCTCAGTGATAAACAAAATTATAAGAATAATCGGTAAACGCTTGAGAAACTTATGTCATTGATGATTCTCAGCCCTTCATGTGATAGAGTCAGAGATATTGGATAGATGTATAAAGTATAAAGAATACAGAAGATGGAGATGAGAAATTGGCTAGAAATCCTAAGGTTCCTTTGTTGCAAATTACCTAATTAACAGATTGACCAAACCAAATCAGCTAGACCCACTAGATTAATCAATCAAACCGCAAATTGTTCAGCATGCAACTGAATAATAATCAATTACACCGTGACCCAAACCTTACTACGCTTTAACCCTCGCTGTTTTGAGAGACTTTTGACTTGTGATTTTGGACCAATCCTTAAACACTAGCTAGTTCCTTATCGTCTGTATTCACTGTAAGCTTCCTTGTTGCAAGGAACTGGTAAATAAATAAGATGCTTACTGATCCACGTCAGTTCCTCCATAGTGACCGGGATCTCGGAATCCTTCTTCTGTAATTCTGGAATGAGAATAGTGGAGAAGCCCAAAGTGGAACCAAACGTGATCATCAGTAGGTTCTTGGCGCTGACAGCGCAGAACTGTGGAAACGCTTGGCGTAGCCTCGACGTTCGGAAACCTTCAATGGTGCCGTTCAACTCAGCAGGTGACGTTTTCTCTTCGTTCCTAAAACACAGGCCAAAAATCATGAAACCAGTGGAAAAGTGCTTTGGAGTCTCAATCGTGTACTAGTATGCTAATGCTAGTCTGAAATGATTGAAAACAAAGTGTAAGAGAAATAAGGACAAGATATAATAGAGATTTGTTTCGTTTACTTAATATTTACATCTGTGAAATTTTGATTTCAAATAGAAATGGGACTTTAGATATTTTCATAGTTATCAGGTTAGATTAATTTCTAAAATACTCACATTGCTCAATAATCGTAAGTAAAACTCGTTTAGATTTCTGGTTTAGGTTTAATGTAATTTAATAAATTAATAATCCGATCGTGATTGTTCTACGATGATAATTGTAATTTTATTACATAAATGCCAATAATATAAAATTCGATTTTTCACGGAGAAATAAACAAATAAATTTTCACAAGTCGTCTGATTTCTGTGCGTACATCTAACAACGTAAACAGATCCATCAATGATCGATCAGACTCGAACATAAGCGTGGCCCCAGGACGCAATTCGATTGAACGTGATCTTTTTCTCTTCCTCTTTATTCTTTTTCTTCTTTTCTTTTCTTTTTATTTTTTTTCTTTTTTTGTCCAACGAAACTGGGTTAACATGACCAATGACCGCGCAATGGTTATTCAATCGGCCAATTAAAGTTTCAGCCGGTCGAGTCCCATACATTGAACTGGTAATTTAAAACCCTTGCTAGGTCCGATGAATTCTCCGATGCATCATTACGTGCGTTAGGAGATTATTTCGATTACCCCTTCTGATTGATTCACGAGGAACGACCTTGCATTGTAGGTCGTTGAAGTCATCGGGACATCTGCTACTCTGTATAAAAATCTATGTACAGGGTGTAGTCTGGTCAGTAGCACAGTGGTTTCGAAATTTTTGGGAAACATTTTATTACTGTTTCTCAATGTGAAATATAAAATACACATAATTTGTGTTTATCGTATTTTTATATCATTGTACATTGCATCTTGTATTTATAAAATACGCGAATATTTGATTTCATTTTAATTTCACTCAAAGGCGCGGGAAAAACATGCCTATTTTCATGAACGAAATTACACGTACAGGTTTTCTGCATATTTTGCGGATCTTTGCAATTTTAAACGCACGAGTATCGCGATCTCATCATTGGCTCTTCATGTTGGATTTTTCGTCATTGACACAGTTCTCCCGGGCGTGAAAGGAACCGGAGGCTCTGAACTATCGCGATTATATAAACTGCGTTGTCCGTTCTCCGTGGTTCTTTTTTTTTTTTTTTTTACGAAATTCTAAACGACCGGTTAGATCGGCTTAAACCAGGTAAAATTACAACGATCTCCCTTCTCCTGCTAATTTCATGGTAAT